GACCGTACTTCGTACCGCTCCTTCAGCAGGTTCTTGGGCAGGCTCCTCCTCCTTGTCCTCCTCCCTCCGTAGCGTGTCCTCCGCCTGTCCAGCCGCAGTCACAGTTACCGCCTGCCTCGCCTCTCCCTGCTCCCTCTCCTTATACTGGTCCCACAGGAGGTCTTACAGAGCGTCGTGAGCCTGAGTCTCGTCCTGCGTCGCCTGTTCGTCCTGCTCGCACTGCTAGTCGTGTCCGTCGTGAGCGTCCTCCTCCTGTCCCAGGCACTCACTACATGACTCTGCGTCCCTCTACTGCTCCTCGGCGTGTCCCTCTACCGTCTCCTCCTGCGTCCTCTTTGCCTGCCGTTCCGGACCCTGAGTCTGACCGGTATCGCGCTGAGCACCCTACAGTCACGCGTCTCCTTGCTACTGTTGTCACTGACCCCACCTTTGAGTCCTCGGCTGCGTCTGCTCTGGTCGCTGAGTTGGTTGACTTTGCTGCTGCCTGTCGTCTAGACTACGCTGCTAGCCTTGTCGCTGAGTCTGAGTCTGCGTCTGTCTGTCCTCCGTCCGTCGGGGGTGAGTGTGCTCTTGGCACGGACGTCCTTGAGGACAGGCAGGAGGACTTTGACTCACTTGCGGCTGCTGTACCTCATCTCGTGGCCTGGTTGCTTGCCCCTGAGGGAGACCCGGATGCAGTAGACATCCCCACTCCGCGCACTTACGCAGAGGCGATCTCGGGTCCCTACTCCTCTCAGTGGCAGACAGCCATGGACGCAGAGATGGCATTCTGGAAGTCCACAGGCACCTACGTCGACGAGGTTCCCCCTCCTGGGGCGAACATCGTCGATGGCATGTAGATTTTCAGGGTGAAGCGGCCGCCAGGTTCTCCGCCTGTCTTCAAGGCTCGTTACGTTGCTAGAGGCTTCAGTCAGCGTCAGGGGGTCGACTTCTTCCAGACCTTCTCCCCCACCCCGAAGATGACCACTCTTCGGGTTCTGCTACACGTTGCTGCTCAGCGTGACTACGAGCTTCACTCTCTTGACTTCAGCACAGCGTTCCTGCAGGGCAGCCTGCACGAGGAGATCTGGCTGCGCCGCCCACCTGGCTTTACTGGGTCGTTTCCCCCTGGTACCCAGTGGAGTCTCCGCCGGCCAGTCTACGGTCTCCGCCAGGCGCCACGTGAGTGGCACGACACACTGAGGACTACTCTTGCGGCTCTTGGGTTCGCGCCGTCTACTGCTGACCCGTCGCTGTTTCTGCGCACAGACACGTCGCTGCCGCCGTTCTACATCCTCGTGTACGTCGACGACTTGGTCTTTGCTACTGCTGACACTGAGGCACTCGCTCGTGTGAAGTCGGAGCTGCAGAAGAGACACACCTGCACTGACCTGGGTGAACTGCGTAGCTACCTTGGCTTGCAGATCACCCGGGACAGAGCTCGCCGCACCATCACCCTGACTCAGTCACACATGGTGCAGCAGGTCCTTCAGCGCTTCGGCTTCCAGTTCTCCTCACCACAGGCCACACCTCTGGCTACCAGCCACTCGCTCTCAGCTCCACCTTCGGACGAGTCCGTAGAGCCGAGTGGCCCGTACCCAGAGCTTGTAGGCTGCCTCATGTACCTGATGACTTGCACGCGACCTGACCTCGCGTACCCTCTTAGCATCCTTGCTCGTTACGTTGCGCCTGGGAGACACAGGCGAGAGCACTGGGAGGCTGCTAAGAGGGTGCTGCGTTACCTGTGCAGTACATCAGGCATGGGGCTGGTACTTGGAGGACGCGACAGAGTTGTCCTCACTGGTCACTCGGACGCCTCTTGGGTGGACGACCTGGCTACGCAGCGGTCGTCACAGGGTTACACCTTCAGCCTTGGCTCTGGTTCTGTCTCGTGGCGGTCCACCCGCTCTTCCTCTGTTCTCGGCTCTAGTTGTGAGGCTGAGATCTACGCCACAGCCATGGCTGCACAGGAGTTACGCTGGCTCACCTACCTGCTGACTGACTTGGGAGAGCGGCCTAGTTCTCCTCCAGTTCTGTACGGTGACAACAAGGCGGCTCTTGCCTTGTGTTAGGAGCACAGACTGGAGCACAGGACGAAGCACATTGCTCTTCGCTACTTTCTTGCTCGAGAGCTTCAGCAGCGCGGTCAGCTTCGGCTTGTGTACGTGGACTCGAAGGCCAACACTGCTGATATCTTCACCAAGGCGCTCCCGCCTAGTGATCATCAGCGGCACTGTACTTCTTTAGGCCTTGTGTCCACGTTTCCTCACTTGCTCACTGCTTGACATTCTTTGTACTGTACTTTATATATATCTTGTTGCTTGCTTGCTAGGTTTTGATCACTGTGTTGCTTGTCTTGTACTATATCTAGCACTGCATGTGAACTGGCCTTGTGGCCTTTACTTGTGCTCGGAGTGTGGTGACGTTGTGATCCACCCTGGGCTTTGCTTTGCTTTGCTGGACTGGTCTTGTGACCCTTTGTTCTCCCCCACTTTGCCTATGGGGGTGTGTTAAACTGTATTATGCTTGTAGGCTGTAGTGGGGTAGCCAATATGGGGTACAACCCCAACTAGGGTTTCATATTTGTACCCAAACTTCTGCTAGTTCAATCATTCTTGCCTAGTTCTCTTGATAGTTGCCTCTTGGTCAGATTGTCGTGGAGGCACCTAGTGACTTTGTCGCACATGCCGCGGACGAGTGGTCCCTCCTGCTGCTCCGTGGCGTTTGTTTGGTAATAATGCATTCGCTTTTTAATATTATTTTATCAGATTACGAGCTAGCATATCGAGTTTGAAGGTGTGAGCTTGTAAACACCAGTATTATAAACCGAAATGCGCATTTGTGGAGTACATGTGGACAGCCAGTTTCGTTTAGGCTGAGTCAAACCCTATTTGTAGGGTGTACAGTTTAGTTGGAACGCGAAGTTACCATCCGGGAATTCCGGGTGCACTGTTCATTACCATTCAGGAAATAATGCTGACCATTTCGGAAATGTTGGTTACCACGGTGGAAATCAGAATATACCTTTGTTACGATTTGAACACGTGGCTTACCTCCCGTGCGAACGAGCTCAATGAGTGTTACCGGAGAGGTAATTGCCCAAGGTCCTGATTGGCAGGTGAAGCGCGTGTGACCCCGTTGCCCCTGCATTTCGTGCCAGCGCTGTCCCGTCTGTGTTCTGATAAGCTAGATCACGCTGGCGCCAGATCAGCCTAGAACCCCTCACACAGAAAATTCTTGTGAGAGGCTTGTAGCATCAGCTTCTACACCGCTAGCTTTGGTTCTGGATGCTATCTAGCAACAGACATTCTTTAGCTGCCTGGTAGATCAGGTATATTTTCCATTTTTTAAGCACATCCACTGTCTTTTTATGTTTTTTTTTTTAAATGTGAAGTCTAACGTCTGGGTAATTAAGGTTTTAGGAAAGGATTGATCATCCTTTGCTAAATTGTGCTGTAGCAGATAATACCAGCTGCGGTAATACCGAGGAAGTGAGATACCGAGGACGCCTGCTGCAAGCGAGAAGACTCACAACGGAGCAAGAGTTTGGGAACTAGGAGCGCCGCACAGGAATCGATTTCGGTTATTCAGTGCAGGATAACAGCGAGACAACCAAACCGAAGCGAGGCCGAGACTGATCGAATCGCGTGGAAGGAGAATAAGCCAACATAGGTCGCAGGAGAATCAGTCGGTAGTTGTATTACAGTTGTTTACACTCCATCACTGTCAAGGTACCAGCTTCAGGACTCCGAATGTGCACACTGCGTTAATGAGGCCGTCTAATCGCGATTACCTTACTTCTGACAACCTGGTCCCGCGTCGGAGTTCGCGTAAAGATGTCAGGCGAAAAGCTGACATACGGTGACACCGTGTGTTTGGCGGGAATCGAGTTGAACGGTCTCTTGTCGTCGTCAGGCCTCATCGACGAGCGTGTCCGGTTCGAGATTCTTGACGATGGCACAGAGGTTCCACCTAACCTGGACTTCTGTAAATTCGAGGTACTTGCTTGCAATGCAATAGCTATGCCTAGGGGTGATCCATACCCATCTCATTGCAATATCCCTCGTTCTCAGGATGAAGGACTTATGGATGATTGTGTACATTTGGTAGCCTGGAATACAACAGCGTATAACGTCCCGTATCGAAGGAGGATGACGGTTACTTAAAATGAGACCGCAGCGACTACGGTGATCGCAATGACTATCGACGAGCTCAGATGCTATCATGAGCTTACAATGACGTGCACACATTCGTATGATCCCGAGAATATGTTGAACGTGAACTAATATTCCAGTTTTGTGGCTCTCAGAATTGCCTTGTCTCGCCATTGCTTCTGTGCCCTTTCTGTGTATCGCCAACGTTCACTAACGTGGGGTTTTCCACGTGGCAGGTCCGTATCAAGTACCAGTACTCGTCTCACAAGCAGAAGAAGGAAGGGGTTGATAGCTCCCCAGCCCCAGGAGGGTACAGCTTCTCCTCTGGAGGTGCTGTTGCTGCTCAGACAAGCAGCGAGGTACAATATTCAGGGAGTAGAGCAGTGCAGAGCGGAGCAGGGAGTCAAGGGACAGGTGTCGCAGTGAGCGGGCTTGCAGGAGTGATCGTACGAGTCTTTGTTGTGAGTTGAGGGACGTTGCGCAAGAAATGAGGGTTGCTGATACACGTTACCGTGTATGGCTGGGGGACGTTGCTTATATTGAGATACGTGGCAGGACTGGAGAGGAGAGACATTGCTGTTGTGTTGCTACCTCATTCTATGTTCCTGATGACTCTTCTATGTTCGGAGTTACTCACTTGCAACCTTCTTTTCCTGCATAGTCTGGCTTTAATCATTCCTCCTATCCAACCCCCTTCTGTTGTGTTGCTTTGATCATTCCTCCTATCCACCCCCCTTCTGTTGTGTTGCTTTGATCATTCCTCCTATCCACCCTCCATCCGTCCGTTTTGCTCCATGTCCATTAGAGTGAGAGTCTTCAAAAGGCAGAGCAAGCTTTCAACAATGGTGAGCTTCGATCGTCCCTCCAATGGCCCCTTGCTCATTGACCCACTCCACTAATTCTCATCTTTCAGCAGCCACCATTTCCCTAGCACTCACAACACAACCATTCAAACCCTGCTTGATTTTCCTTGTTCCCAAGACCCTCAGCTCTTTGACCCGTTCTCCGCTCGTCCTTTCCCCCTCCAGCCCGTTCCCTTTCCCTCCCCTTCCCGTTCCCCCCTGCTCCCCGTCCCACCCGTTCCCCTTGTTTCTCATTCTCCCCCACCTTTGCGCCTCTTCTCCCCCCGCTCCGCAGCTGAGTTTCTGCGGTCGGTGGGCAGTCCATTCCAGTGCTGTACGGGCACGTGGTGCAGCTGTTCCACGTGAGCAGCAGCAAGTTCGTGAGCTCCAAGCATTCCCCTTCCCCCCTGTCCCCCTCCCCACCCATCCCCCCACCACTCCCCAGCTGAGTTCCTGCGGTCGGTGGGCAGTCCAGTGCTGTACGGGCACGTGGTGCAGCTGTTCCACGTGAGCAGCGGCAAGTTCGTGAGTGTCAAGCGCACGCAGTCCGAGCTGGAGAAGTCGCACCTCAAGGTCGTCCTGCAGAGGCGCGGCGACATGGGCTCCTGGTTCACTGTCACTCCCGCCTACAAAATCAAGGTGTGTGCAGGCACTTCTTTTGAGACTTGAGGTGGGGTCCTGTGTCCCTCCCTGCCACTCACGTGTAAAAAATCACGGTGCAGCCAGGCAATAGCCTGACATTCGCTGCAGTAGCCTTACATTCGCAGCAGTAGCCTCACATTCGCAGCAGTAGCCTCACTCCTTCCTGCATATGGTTTCAATCTCTGTGACTCCTCATCTGATCTCCTTTCCACCACTCCCCCCTTCGTGCAACCCTTGGGGCACACCAGCGTGAGGGCGAGCACGTGGCGTTTGGAGACGCAGCAACCTTCATGAGTGTCAAGTTCTCTGGAGCCGGGTAACGCAACGGTGGGCAAGGGGAGAGGGTTAGGAGTTCATTCCGCAATTGCTTAAATTGGTAGAGTTGATTCAGGGATAGGTAAGTTATGCTGTGTTGTCCTCCTGTCTCTGCACCCTGTTCAACCCCTATGCTCGTTCCTTTCCAATACCTATCCGTTCTCCGTCATCCCCCCTTCCCTCCACGCATCTCCCCCCACAGGTTGCGGCTCTCTGATGCGTCCTTTGATGTCACAGTATCGGGTTGCCATCCTTATGTCATCGACTCTAGGGAGGTGAGCACAGGACGAAGGAGAAGGGGCTACTGGGGTGCTGAAAGCATGATGAACCACCTGGCCTTTTTGAGTTGAAAATATAGACATCAGGCTGCCTTCCCTATGTCATCGATTCTAGAGGATGGAGAAGAGGTTAGCTAGACGCTAAAGGAATGAGCCGCCTGGCTTTATAGGCTGACAAAAAAATCAAGCCAGGCTGCCAACCCTATGTCTTCGACTAGAGTGAGGTGCTGGAAGCGCGAACCTCCTGGCTTCTTGAGTTGACTCAAGCGTCAAGCTGAGACCTCTAGGTAGTCGATTCAAAGGAGATGGGACACTGGAGGCTTGATATCTGAAGTGCCTCAACAATCATTCACGTGTGTGTGTGCGCGCGCGCGCGCGTGCGTGTATGCCTGCGTGCATGCAAACGTGCGCGTGCGTGCAGGTGAACGCAGGGCCAGAGGTGGGGCGGTGGAAGCTCATACCCTACGCGCTACACGAGAGCAAGCTGCTAAACGCGCGGCACCTGCTGAGAGGCGGCGATGCAGTGGTGGTGACGCACAGGGCGAGTGAGATGCACTTAGTGTGCGACGAGGGCCAGGTGTTCTTTGAAGCACGGGGTCAGAACGAGCCCGGCGGGGGAAGAGTCAGCTCCAATGCTCTCTGGCGCCTGCAGCCTCTCACCGTTGAGTGGGGCGGGCGATTTGCATCTGGAGACCAGGTGAGGAGGATGGGGAGGAGGGGGATGGGTGGGATGGGGTTGGGGTGGGGCTGGGTGGGGTTTTGCAGGGAGGGAAAAGGTGTGGGGGGTGGGGTGAGGGATGGGGGTCAGGGTGGGATGGGAAGAAAGGGTTAAATCCACTATCCTCACTGGCAAGACTGCCGGCCCCTTTGCTTCACTGGAGCAGCAGGTTTGTAATGACTCGTCAGACACAGGTATTCTGCTTACGTTGCTCTGCCTGCCCCCGTCCCACCTATCTGCCTGCTGCTCCCCATCCCCCTTCCCTTCATCTTCAATGCCCATGCTCTCCCATTGTGCATGCAACTCTCAATCCACTTGAACTTTCAGTCCTTCACTCCTACACTCATTGATGGAAAGAACCCTCCACGAGGAGGGCTGTGATATGATCGCATACACATGAACAGTGATCCAGATTTTGTAAGGATTGCTGTTTCCCCTCTCTCTCGCCTGCCAAACCCATCAAGCCATGAACCCATGAACCCAGAAACCCACAAGCTCACGAGCTACTCACAACAAACGCATCGAACCGTGGGTTCGTGCGCCTATGCGACCTGGGCATTATGACCTATGCGCCTACCCATTATGGGCATTATGCCCTGCTCCCCAACCCATCCCTTCTGCCCCGCCCACCACCCATGGGTGTGAGGCGGTGTGAGGCAGCAATTGCGCTTGAAGCACCTGGCGACAGGGTTGTATTTGGAGTTGAGGCGACTGCTACACTCATAAACTCACGCTATCCCTTTGCCTGCTCTCTAACCCCTCTGCCCCGCCCACCATGGATGTGTGGACTGGTGTGTGAGGCAGCAATTCCACCTGAAGCACCTGGCAACAGGGCTGTATCAGGAGTCCTGGCGACTGCTGCAGGCATGAATTCACGCTATCCACTTGCCTGCTCCCCAACCCCTCTGCCCCGCCCACCATGGATGTGTGGACTGGTGTGTGAGGCAGCAATTCCACCTGAAGCACCTGGCAACAGGGCTGTATCAGGAGTCCAGGCGACTGCTGCATTCATGAATTCACGCTATCCACTTGCCTGCTCCCCAACCCCTCTGCCCCGCCCACCATGGATGTGTGGACTGGTGTGTGAGGCAGCAATTCCACCTGAAGCACCTGGCAACAGGGCTGTATCAGGAGTCCAGGCGACTGCTGCAGGCATGAATTCACGCTATCCACTTGCCTGCTCCCCAACCCCTCTGCCCCGCCCACCATGGATGTGTGGACTGGTGTGTGAGGCAGCAATTCCACCTGAAGCACCTGGCAACAGGGCTGTATCAGGAGTCCAGGCGACTGCTGCAGGCATGAATTCACGCTATCCACTTGCCTACTCCCCAACCCCTCTGCCCCGCCCACCATGGATGTGTGGACTGGTGTGTGAGGCAGCAATTCCACCTGAAGCACCTGGCGACAGGGCTGTACTTGGAGTCTAGGCGACTGTTGCACTCCAACACCTGCCTTGACATGCGCGGAGAGGACTTCAGGTAAGAGCTGCGCGCATGGATGGATGCATGGGTGATGGTTGGGTTAAGTGGGGGGGACCTTGGGTGGGCTGCGCGGGTGGACGAACGGATGGGTGGAGATCGGTTTTTGAGAAATTTCAGAAACCAGATTGGATTGGTGGAGCATTATTGGTGGGTTGCATTGATGGATGGATGCGTGGATGGGTGGAGGATATGGATGGGCAGGGTGGAGGTCATGACTTGTAAACCTGGTGCAAGAAGGCTCACAAGTCATACCAGTCCATCCAGAGACAGTGTCATACCCCATCCACACCACACCAAGCCTCATTCCCTTCCCACCACCCTTTTTAATCCCTGTTCTTACCATCACACAGGGGCATGGTGGGAGTGACAGAACTATACAAGAAGCCAGGGACCGTCTGGCGGATAGGGGCAGTGGGGCAGGGCACAGAGAGGCACGTGATACCCTACCACACACTCATTCAGTGCCACGGTGTGCACGGGTACATGTCAGGCGGCAGTGGGGACTATTACAAGGCCCGCTGGGCCTCTCCCGGTGCAGCAGGCTCGCTTTCCTTCGCCTCGTCGTTCTCAGCCGCTGCTGCTGCTGCGGCGGTTAATGCAGTTGGGGCTGCGTCGGCTGCTGCGGCTGCTGTGTCTTCGGGGTTTGCGTCGGGAGTGTGCGTGGATGGGGATGGGGACAGGGACGGGGGCGAGGAGGACGAGGAGGAGGCGCTCATGGGGAGGCGCCCTGCTGGGCTCACGTCAGTGTGGGACCAGAAGGTGTGTTCTTCTCACGTTGTATGTACGCACGCAGTGGGTCGGGGGAGCGAGAAGGTGTGTCTGTGACAGTGGGCGAAAGAGGGGGGGGTATTTGCATTATGAGAGAGTGGGTGGTGGATGGATGGATGGGGGGAGCAGGGACCATGGCGGTAGTGGGGAGCTGGCAGGGGCCTGAATTGAACCCACTACCTGCCGTTTTCTTTGCCAATGACCTGACCAAAGATTTGACAGAGGACAGCTACTCTCTTCTGTACCCCTTCTTTACCCCATCTGATCCCATGCCTTCCTGCCTCCAACCCCAATACCCTCTTCCTCCTTCCTCTTCTCCTGCTCCTCTTAGTCCCACATAATTCCCTGTCAGTGGCCCATATTGAGCCATTTCCAAGGCTGAGATTTGAGAGGCATTTCACACAAGCCATTCATATTCCCGTGTGTGTGTATGTGTGTGTGTGTGTGTGTGTGTGTGTGTGTGTGTGCGTGCATGTGTGTGTGTGTGTGTGTGTGTGTGTGTGTGTGTGTGTCATTGTGTGTCTGTGTCTGTCTGGTTTGGGTTGCTGTGGTACTCGTGGGATACCATCGCATTGCATCGCACACACACCAGGATGCGCTTGTATTTGAGGGTGCCCCTCCAGCCGCAGTCAACCTCATCCTCACAGTGAGTTTCTGCAGCTGCCAGTGCTTCTTATGCACTCTTCTCTGTTCCGCTTAGCTCCCCTCAACCCCACTGTTGTCCCCTGCTTCTCTCTTCTTTTCCCTCTCACTCTCTTGCTTCCGCATTCCCTCATGCTCCGTTCGGCCTCCCGCTCCCCCTTCACACTCTCATGTCCCTGGATTTTCTTTTTACCTCTCTCTTTCTCAGTCTGTCCCCTTCTCCCCCTCTCTCTCCCCTTCTCACTGGCTCTCCCTTTCCCTCGCTTCCTCCTCTGCACAGGAGAGTGACTCCACGCGCTGTCTCAAGAACTTTGTGCTGGCTCTGGACGAGATAGACCCTATAGACGACTGCACGGATGACGAGGTGCTCAAGGCCAGGTGTGTTGCTGTGCTGCACTGCACTTGCACGATGCATGCAGAACATGACATGTGGCAAGCTTTTGTTCAAGTATGTAAGAAAGACATACCAACCACTCCGCTGTCTTCTGTGCATCTCTCCCCCGTCTCCACATCCCGCCGGTTTCTGCACATGACCCCATTGACTTGTTTCACCCTTTCTTGATGTTTCCCCCGTTTGCATGATTTCCATTTGCAGCATCCGCACTAGTGGCCTCATTCAAGTGCTCTTCAAGTATGGGTGAGCCTATCATGCCCACCTGTCTCTGCACTCATCTCTACACCTGTCTGTGCTATTGTCCCTGCACTTGCCTGTGCTTGTAAGAACTTGAGCTTGAATGGATACATTAGTAATGAGCTCAAGGCTCTTTTAAGTACATCCAAAATGAGCAAGGAACGGATGGGCTGGGAATCGGGGCAAATCCCAAGGGGATCAGCTGAATTCTCCAATTGGTGGTTGGATATTTCAGTTGATCACGATTGGTTTGGGCTGGGATGTGGGTGTACACCCAACTAACACAAACAGGATACAAACAGTGCAAGTACATAAGTTGAGACTGAGGGCCAACACTAACACTGTTCTCGTTCACCTGATTTCTGTCTCTTTCTTATCAACCTTTTAATCCGGTCGATGCCCCCATTCCCACTCTCGCTTTTCCCAACATCCCAAGAATCAACTCCTGTACGAAACCCATCCAATTCCGTTGCACATTCTCCACTTTCTCCTTCCCTTTCCCCCTTTCAGCCCAGTGGTAGCAGAGGAGCTACAGCGGCTGATTCGCTGCCTGGTTATCTCAGACATGCCAGACGTGCTCAACCTCAGGGGCCCACCTAATCGCACATACCAGGTGCGTCATGCTTTTATCGAAGAAACGAGGTTTGCTAGAGGTGTGCTACCTATACAAAGTTTGTGTGGTACATTGTTATGTCCATCCACAAGTATCACATGTCCCCGTCCTCTCTCTCCTCTTTGTTTCATCGTGTTCCTTTGAGTAATCCACCTGCACTCTCTGCTCTGCACTGTATCTTCACCTCTTCCACACTTTCGCCTCCCTCTCCTCCCCTCTACCTCCCACTCCCTCCTCTCTTCCGCCCCCTCTCTCCCTCTCCCATCTCACTCCCTACCTTCCTCCCTGTCTCTAGGTCTTTGTGAGGGAGCAGAAGGTGCTTGCAGTAGTCGTCTCCGTCCTCCAAATCCTCCTCATCAGCAAGGGCCTCACTTCCAAGTCAGCTCAAAACCCAGATTCTCTCCCTCCCTCCTCGTCCCTCCATTCCCTTCTCTCCCTTTCTCAAGGTCTTTGTGAGCGAGCAGAAGGTGCTAGCAGTGGTCGTCTCCGTCCTCCAGATCCTCCTCATCAGCAAGGACCTGCTTTATAGTCGACCTAGAAATTGAAGCGTCCCCCTTCCTCCTGCCTCCCTCCCCTCTCCTTCCTCCACTCCTCAAGGTCTTTGTGAGCGAGCAGAAGGTGCTAGCGGTGGTCGTCTCCGTCCTCCAAATCCTCCTCATCAGCAAGGGCTTGCCGCAGCGCTGCCTGAGCGACTGCGACACATTCTTTGAGGGATTCGACCTGCGGCGCCTCTGCAAGCTCATGAACCGCTTCCTGCAAGCCGCGTGCCAGCAGTTCAGGCCTGGGCAGGACCAGCTGGCTCCATACGTGCCGCTGCTGGATCAGCTGGTGGGGAATGAGATTTACACGTCGGGCACGATTATGGCGATTTTCGCGGATAATGAGAGGATTATTTCGAGGGTCACTGTGGACAATGTGAGTGGTTACGAGCGGAAGAGTGGGAAAGTGGGAATGGGGCTATGGTGTGTGGGTTTGGTTGGGAAGGTGTGTGAGATTGAGTGGTGGTGGCTTCAGTTTCAAAGAAGGAGCTTTGGGACCTTCTGCAATACCTTGTCAAGTAGTAAACAAACAGAGAAACCAACCAAAAACAGAAGGATAAGAAGCCTGACCTGAAGTGCCTTATACACCCCGTTCTGTCAACCACGCCTTGCTCCCTACTCCCCCGCTCTCTCTTCTGTCGTCCACCCAGATCCGGCAGCGAGTAACCAAACTGCCGGATGTTCCAGCACCCTCCTGACATCCGCTTCCTGAACATCATCTGCAGCAGCGAGGGCACGTCTCCCTAGCCTACTCAAAAGCCCCATCCAACCCCCTTCTGTCAACCCCCCTTGGTCCCCCTCCTCTTCCCCCAACCCCCCGCCCCCTCTTGTCCCCACCCAGATCCGGCAGCGGGTGACCAACTGTCGCATGTTCCAGCGGCCGCGGGACATCCGCTTTCTGAACATCATCTGCAGCAGCGAGGGCGCGCCTGTGCGCTCCAACCAGAACGTCGTGGTGGACATTCTCCGAGAGAACGCCGACATCCTCGTGCAGGCCCGCCCCGCGCCCTCCCGCCTTGTTCGAGGCGGGCAGACGCTCATTCTGAGGCGCTGGGATGGGCTGGAGGTGGATTGTGAGGCGTATGCGGATTTGCAGCAGCTTGGCCCGCACTCTGACTCCATTCGACGCACTCCCCAGGGTGTGTGTGTGTGTGTGTGTATGGAATTCTGGGAGTGGTGGTGTTGATTGTGATGGGCGTGGATGCGTGGGGCGCGGTTGTGTGGCACTGGGCAATGGCTGTGGGTGGGTTGCTGCATTGGCATCTCACCCACAATCCGAAGTGACCAGCATAAGCAAGCTCTCCAAGAAATCCCCTTCCGTCCTGTTTCTCCATTTCCCCTCTCACCAATCCCCCCCCCCTCTCCTCCCCCACCCCTCAGAGGTGCTGTTTCTCTTCTACGTGGTCTCGCTGGAGCTGTACTGCACGCTGTGTCTGCAGCGCAACCGCAAGGCCATAGACTGGCTGATAGAGGACAGCCACCTGTACGGGCTGGACTATGGCACGCTGCGCATGGTCGTCTTCAACCCCGCCCTGCCCTTCTTCCTGCCTCAAAAATGGATTCCTCCCATCCCGTTTCTCCTCTTTTCCTCTCACCACCCCCTCCCGCACCCCACCTCCCCCTCCCGCACCCCACCTCCCCCACCGTCCAGAGGTGCTGTTTCTCTTCTACGTGGTCTCGCTGGAGCTGTACTGCACGCTGTGTCTGCAGCGCAACCGCAAGGCCATAGACTGGCTGATAGAGGACAGCCACCTGTACGGGCTGGACTATGGCACGCTGCGCATGGTCGTCTTCAACCCCGCCCTGCCCTTCTTCCTGCCTCAAAAATGGATTCCTCCCATCCCGTTTCTCCTCTTTTCCTCTCACCACCCCCTCCCGCACCCCACCTCCCCCACCGTCCAGAGGTGCTGTTTCTCTTCTACGTGGTCTCGCTGGAGCTGTACTGCACGCTGTGTCTGCAGCGCAACCGCAAGGCCATAGACTGGCTGATAGAGGACAGCCACCTGTACGGGCTGGACTATGGCACGCTGCGCATGGTCGTCTTCAACCCCGCCCTGCCCTTCTTCCTGCCTCAAAAATGGATTCCTCCCATCCCGTTTCTCCTCTTTTCCTCTCACCACCCCCTCCCGCACCCCACCTCCCCCTCCCGCACCCCACCTCCCCCACCGTCCAGAGGTGCTGTTTCTCTTCTACGTGGTCTCGCTGGAGCTGTACTGCACGCTGTGTCTGCAGCGCAACCGCAAGGCCATAGACTGGCTGATAGAGGACAGCCACCTGTACGGGCTGGACTATGGCACGCTGCGCATGGTCGTCTTCAACCCCGCCCTGCCCTTCTTCCTGCGCACCAACTGCTGCCGCCTGCTCACACGCATGTACCTGGATAGGGAGCCCTTCGAGCTCGTGTCACAGGGCAGCGTCATGCTCACCTGGTAAGTCGTTGCTTCAGTCGAGTCAAATGTTTGAGTCGACTCAGGACCAACTGCTGACGCCTGCTCACACGCATGTACCTCGACAGAGAGCCGTTTGAGCTCGTGTCACAGGGCAGCGTCATGCTCACCTGGTGAGTCGCTTTTGCAGTCAGCGCAATACGTTTTGAGTCGACTCAAACACCAACTGCTGACGCCTGCTCACACGCATGTACCTTGACAGGGAGCCCTTTGAGCTGGTATCACAGGGCAGAGCCATGCTCACTGTTGAGTCATCTCAAGTCAAGCACCAGCTGCTGCCGCCTGTTCATGTTCATGCGCGCATGTGCCTCGACATATAGCCGTTTGAGCTGGTGTCGCAGGGCAGCGTCATGCTGTTTGAGCATGACGCTGGTGAGTCGGTTTTGCAGTCGACTCAAACACCACCTGCTGCCGCCTGTTCATGTGTATGTACCTCGACAGATAGCTCTCCGAGCTGGTTTCCCAGCAGGTTCTGAGGCGGCTCCCCCAACGCAAACCATCCTACCACCACCAACCCCCTCTCTGTGCTCCCACCAGGCCCACCATCGACTACTCAGATGCAGAAACCCTCAGCGAGCCCGACCACGTGAATATGGCCATGGCGGATCCGATCCGCTCCCCAGGCTGAGGCTCCCCCAATCAACCCAAGCTCACTACAAACCTCCCTCCTTCCCATTCTCCCACCAGGCCCACAATTGACGACTCAGATGCAGAGACCCTCAGCGAGCCTGACCATGTGAACATGGCCATGGCGGATCCATTCTCCGCTTGATGCCAACACTTCCCTAACCCCCCTCCCTGTGCTTTCACCAGGCCCACTATCGATGACTCAGATGCAGAAACCTTGAGCGAGCCCGACCATGTGAACATGGCCATGGCGGACCCTTTTTCCGCCTTCCCCGGGAAGGCGCCAGAGAGGGAGTTTGGCGAGCTGAAGGCGCGCACGCTGGCGTACCTGCACAGCACACGGCTGTCGTCTGCTTGCTCTGCGGGGCAGAGCGCACTCACCCTGGCCGTGCTGCAAATGGCCAGCATCATGCTGCAATTCGGGCTGTTTGGGAACTTCTCCCAGGTGCGTGCATCTATGCATGCGCGTGTGAGTGTGTGTGTGTGTGCATGCGTCCGGGCCTAGCGTTATTGGGTTGTGGTTGTACATTCCCCCCCGGGGAAGGTGGCTGAGAGGGAGTTTGAGGAGCTGAAGACGACGCACACGCTGGCGTTCTTTGAGACGTCTTGAAACCTGCACGGCGCACGGCAGTCTGTCGTCTGCTTGCTCTGTGCAAGTGGTGGCGGCGATCATCCCTTTGCTGGATCCTCAAATGACCATTCTGTCCTTGCTTACGCTTGTTTTCCAATGCCACACCATCCCGCACCACCAACCACAACACACCACCAACCACAACACACCACCAACCACAACACACCACCAACCACAACACACCACCAACCACAACACACCACCAACCACAACACACCACCCTACGCACCGCCCTACGCACCACCCTACGCACCACCCCACACCACACATCACCAGAACAGGGACAGCTCCATAGCGCAAGTGGTGGTGGCGATCATCCCTGTGCTGGAACCTCCCAACAATTTTCTGCTTTTCCTGATTTACTGCTGTTTTCAATGCCACTCCATCCCGACCACCAGGACTGGGACAGCTCCATAGCGCAAGTGGTGGCGGCAATTATTCCTCTGCTGGACGGCAGGTCGGAGCCATGGGACGGCAGCTGCAGACTGCGGTTCGAGAACCAGCACGAGCCGCACAGCAGTGCTGTCATGGAGGTGCGTGCTTTGAGACGTCTCATAGCTTGACTTTGAGTTGTGTGCCATGCTCATGTATCTATTCTACATGCGCATCATTTGGTGTATCATCTAGTGCATCGGCAGCTGTTTCAACCATACCACTTCTCTCCCAACCCCCCTGCACCCAATCCCACCAATCCCCGTCCCATGCTTCCCCACAGGCTAAGACGATCATGTGTGCGATGCTCATGTACATATTCAACATGCGCATCAACTGGTGCATCAACTGGTGCATCAGCAGCTGGTGCATCAACTGGTGCATCAACTGGTGCATCGACTGGTGCATCAACTGGTGCATCAACTGGTGCATTGACTGGTGCATCAACTGGTGCATCAACTGGTGCATCAGCAGCTGGTGCATCCATCCAACTCACTTCTCCCAACCGCCCTGCACCCCCTCCCACCACTCCCCATCCTCCCCTCCCCATCCCCCCAGGCCAAGACCATCATGTGTGCCATGCTCATGTATATATTCGACATGCGCATCAACTGGTGCATCAGCATCGCATTCGACTGCTACTGCGACCTCGGAGATCGAACCATAGCCAATTTCTGGGACATGCCTCTCCTCCTCTCCCGCCCCTCCGACCCCTACTCTTCCGGGTATCCCTCTTCCGTCGCTGCGGTTACCACCACCCCCTCCTCCTCCTCCTCTTCCTTGTCTCAGCACACCTCCTTTCACTCCGCGTCTTTGGCTTCGTTGGATTCGGGTATTCCCAAGGATGCCGTTGCGGCTCTGCAGAGAGCATTGGGAGGGGAGAATGGGGTGATGGGGGGAGGGGAGGGTGTGGGGAGGAGATTCGGAGCATCTGGACTGGAGGGTGGTGGCGGGAGGAAGGGGTATGGTGGTAATGGCGGTGGTGGTGCTGCTGGTGGTGGTGGAGGTGGAGGCGGGGGAAATGGTTACGGTTATGGATCTGGTAACAACAGTGGCAGTGGCGGTGGCGGTGGTGGTGGTGGCAACAGCAACGCGTTGATAATGAGGAGAAAGTCTCTCTGGTGGTCCACTCGTTTGAAGCTCGAAGCTGCTTCCACCCTCCGCGGATTTGTCAGGCCGTCGCGAGTGGGACCCCCTGATTCCGCAGTGTTTGACCAACTCTTCAAAGACCTATTTGAAACGCCTGAGCTTAGCCCCTCCGGGGCTGTTTTGCGCGAAGAAGCAGGCGTGCAAGAGGAGGCACGGTTGAGGGAGGAAGCGGGAGGCAGGATGGGAGGAGTCGAGGGGGGAGGCGGGCGCGGGGAGGAGAGAGAAGCGAGAAGTAAAACAGTGAACCGGGTACCTTACATGATGAAGGTGCTTCTAGACTTGACTCGCTATAAGTACGCTCCATTAAGAGCGCTCGCGTTCGCACTGATCGACCGCTACATGATGGAAAAGGCGTCGCTCCTGCGGAAAATGCTTTCGACTCACATAGTCGTAGATCCAGATGTGCTGCGGCTGTACAAGCAAGTCGCACACGACGTGAACATGCTGCGATCGCTGCACGGATGGCTGGGGAGCGACAATGAGTTGCTGCGGGGGGAGGTGCGGCGGCGGTGCTGCGAGGTGCTGTGGAAGTTCCGGGATATGTGCACGCTGAGCCAGGGGCAGAACGAGGCGCAGGTGGTGAAGCACCAGACGATTCTCAAGACGCTCGGCGCCCACTGCTGCGCTCGTGAGTTCACTTGGTTCTGGCTTGAAGTGCTCTGGTCTGAGAGGTAGCAAGCCTGTCCTCTGTGCGAGGTGCTGTGGAAGTTCCAGGACATGTGCACGCTGAGCCAGGGGCAGAACGAGGCTCAGAGTTGTTCTCTGTAGCATGTGCCTTTTGACTGTCTTAATATGAAGGAGGTGGGTGCAGGAGGGGGAACCCGGGGGAACAGGAAGGGAGACGGGAGCAGGAAAAGGGAGATGGGATGGACTTGTGGGGAATGAGTGAGGTGGGAGATGGCAAAAATGAATTGCTGTTTCTTTCTATGGGCATCCCTTGGTTTCTGTTTCTGACTCTGTGGTTCCATGCGTTCTCATTGCTGCAGGTGACATGCTGCGCTTGCCCTTCCGCCGTGTGCCGTCGCAAGTGCGGGGGGAGATGGACCGTATCGAGGACGAGGGGCTGCAGGCGCTGCTACAAGCGGCCTACGAGTTCCTCACCATGGTACTGTCAATGCCTGTGTATGCGTGTTTTTTTTTTTTTTTCCACGCAACCATATGTCAGTCTTTCAATATGTAAGAGGTTCACGAAACACCACAAATCTGCACCATTTTTCTAGTCCACACATCCTACATCTCACCATTCACAACCGCTCTTCTTCTTTTCACTTTGCCCCTCACCATTCCTCTCCTCCTCCCAATGCTGCTGGCAGTTCTGTGGGGGAGTGGTGAACGAGGAGATCCAGCTCACGCTCTTCCCCTTCATCCCCCTCATGCTGCCTCACCGAGGGCTGCAGGGCGTGCAGGTGGGGCGTGGTGCAGGAGGGGCGTGGTACAGGTGGGGCGTGGTGCAGGTGGGGCGTGGTGCAGGTGGGGCGTGGTGCAGGTGGGACTTGGTGCAGGTGAGAACCTGTCCCGGTTAGGAGCTTGTCACGCACCCACATATCCATGAATCAGGTGATACAGGTGATACCTCGGTGTGAGACCCCCATACATGGGTGTAATTGTTCATGTTCACATGCGCACAGCAGAATCATACACTCAGCAGCTTTAAGATATGCTTGTTCACTCCCTACCATCCACCTCCCATCGCCATTCTTCACCCTGTCAACCCCTCTCTCCTGCCACTCATCCTCACCCTCCTGTGTCTCCCATGACTGCTGTCTGTGCCTGTCCATTCCCCCTCTGCACGAGCAGGTGACAGAGTGTTTGTGTGCCATACTCAAAGATAACTATGAGCTCTGCGCTCAGGTGAGTGGTTGTATCCTTGTACACCTTCCAAGCCACTCATGGTCACGGGAGAGGTTAAGTGTAAGGCGATGTATCTACGAATACCGTGAGGCTCGTTATTGTGTGAGCAGTGGGTTATGGAATAATCTTCTGTGCTCCCGTTTCTGCTGTCTTTTTTCCATCCTACTCTGCCATTCGAGCCTCCTCCTCTCCCACCTCTCTCCCCTCCCCTCCCCCTCTCCCCCCTCCCCCTCTCCCTCTCGCCCCTCCCCCTCCCTCTCGCTTCTCCCGCTCTCCCTCATTCTCCCCACCTCCCCTGCCTCCATCGCAGGTGGGACTGGATCTTATCTGGTCGTGCTTCCGTCTCATTCTTAAATTCAACCGCCGTCACTCCTGGCTCAGGTTCCTTGAGGTGAGACTTTGTTGAGTGCACTTTTATTAAGGCGCCTCAAAAATAGGTGCAGGAGAGTCCATGTTTCAGCAGGTGAGACTTTGTTCACAAGCTCTTCAGAACTCCTCGCTTTGCAGTATTGGAGCCTCTTTTCTCTCTTTCTGCTTGACGGACGGCGAGCGATGGTGAAAACGGCGGGTTGACAATCCTTGCAAAGAAAAGAAAGAAAGTTCCTGTGGCTGGTGTGCTGTGGTCTAACAGTCCCCTGCATTCTTTTCCCCATTGCCAGACGGCGGTGGTGGTGAACGGCAAGCCTATGGGTCGCAACCAGACAGCAGTGTTAGACATGGTGATTCACCACACGCACTACCCGGCCTGCCTAAGACATGCTCTTATTCGGTTTGAAGCCCACTTGTTTGTTCCCCTATCTGCACCCCTTTTGGCAGACGGTGGTGGTGGTGAACGGCAAGCCCATGGGTCGCAACCAGACAGCAGTTCTGGACATGGTGATTGATCACACGCACTCCGTGGCTGGCCTGCCCAAGACACCCGCGCACTGGAGGCGACGCCGGGAGCTCATGGCTGCAGGCGAGGCTGCTGCCAAGCCCCATGAGAGCCAGGTGAGTGGGGAGATGGTGTGGCGGGGGCAGGTGAGGCACTCGCGTGGTTGGTTTTGACGCGCCTCAAACAAGGCAAGCGCGCACTGGAGGTGGGGCTGGGAGGTTATGGCTGCTGGCGAGGCTGCTGCTAAGCCCCATGAGAGCCAGGTGAGTGGGGAGATGGTGTGGCGGGGGCAGGTGGGGAGATGGTGTGGCGGGGGCAGGTGGGGAGATGGCGTGGCGGGGGCACATTGTTGAGATTGAGAGGGCTCCATTGAGCACGTTTTCAGGTCGTTGGGGCATGTAACGGCTAAGCTAAGCTTGTTCACATGCGGTTGCAAGGGCTTCTGACCCAAATCTTGCCTCTCCTTTGATTTTTCATCCTTTCTTCCTCCCCCTTTTCCTCCTTCCTCCCTCCCGTTCCCCGTGACAATCAGGTGCGTTTCCATGCAGCATATGTCTCTCTGCTCGCTGCCTGCTGCTGGGGGAACAACCCAGCACATGCAGTGAAGGTGGGCGGGCTGGTGGGACTGGGCGAGGTCATGGCAACTCTGCTCTGGCTTAGCTCTGAAACCAGAATGGCACAGAAGGCCAGAGAGAAGGAGCAAGAGAGGAAAGGGGAGGGCGAGAGCGGGAGTGAGGGGGAGAGGGAGGGTGGGGAGAGAGTGGAAATGGAGGAGGGTAGGGAGAGAGTGGAAGTGCGGCAGGTGGAAGAGAGGCAGGGTGTGGGGAAGGGGAAGTGGGTGGAGGAGAGGGGGAGGCAGGAATCAGTGCAGCAGAGAGGTGACGGGACAGAAGAGTTGGCACGAGGAGGACGAGGAAGAGGAGGAATGGCAGCAGCAGCAGCTGCAGCTGTAGCCGCAGTAGAAGCAGGAGGAGGAAAAGTTGGAGGAGGAGGAGGAGGAGGAGGAGGAGGAGGAGGAGGAGGAGGAGGAGGAGGAGGAGGAGGAGGAGGAGGAGGAGGAGGAGGAGGAGGAGGAGGAGGAGGAGGAGGAGGAGGAGGAGGAGGAGGAGGAGGAGGAGGAGGAGGAGGAGGAGGAGGAGGAGGAGGAGGAGGAGGGAGATTAGCAGGTGGAGAGGCATCGTCAGCATCACAGCCAAGAGAACAACCAGAAGAAGCGGCAGTAGCAGCAGGAACATCCACGGAAGCAGCAGCAGCATCAGCAGAAACAGCAGCCTCTAAGCCTGATCACACACAGTCAGTAATCGACATGGCAACGATTCATCTGGTGAAGGCAGCATATGTGCGCCTGCTGCACCAGGTGTACGTCACAGGGCACAGCGACCGAGCCACTGCTGAAATCCGTGACCCCACCAACGGAATCTGGCCGCAGGAGCTGCCACGACGGGAAGGGGGAGGAGCTGGAGGGGCAGCAGGAGGAGCAGGAGGGGTTGGGGAGGGAGGAGGAGGTGGAGGAGGAGGAGGACTGGGAGTGAGGTCAGGAGGCGGGCTAGTCAGTGGAAGGGGTTTTGGTGGGTCCGCTGGTGCAACTTCCTCTGGTGGTGGCGCTGCCGGTGCTGGCATTGATTCTGCTGCTGCTGCTGCTGCTGCGCATCGGTCGCAGATCTGCTCCTGGTGGTGCTACTCTTAGCACGTCTGCTGCTTCTGCTGCTGCTGCCGCTGTTCCTCCTCTCGGTTCATCCGCTGCTGCCTTCACAGGTGTCGATCCGACAAGAAGACACAGTCGGGATAACAAAGACAGCCGCTATCGCCCAATTTCAATCGGGTCGTCAGCAGCACTCACAGTGGCAGCGGCAGGGCTCTTTCCCCTCAACCCCTCCTCTGCCGAACCTCGCCCGTGCCTCATAGAGGATCTAATCTCGGAGCTACAGCTGGCAGCATCGGAAGAGTTGATCACGCGCCGCCCGAAGGCTCGGCACAGCATTTCGTGGCAACAGCAGCGCTGCCCATGCTGACTTCCTACTTTAAGCGGCATTTCATTGCTCGAAGAGCCAACTTGCCGGATTTTCACGGGTGCTGCTCGACCAATTGGCAGATGCCATCTGGCATCTCTGCGGCAAGCTGCCTCCCTCGCAGCGGGATGCCCCCTTGAGATGCATCGAGGAGATGAAAGCTGCTGGTGCGGTTTCTAGATTTGACTACGGCCCGTCTTCTCTGCCGTATTTTGTCGATCGGGCGGCAGTGAGTCGTGCCCGAGGCACCGAGCTTCAGCGCAAGGGGCAGATTTTCAAGGCGAATTGGGTCAATTTCTGCCGCTTGTTCTCGCAGAAGCTAGATATTTCTGACCTGCAGACCATGGAAGGGTCAGGAGCGCGACACCTGGCGCTTATGCTGAGTCAGCGCCGGCCGGTTGACGTGTCATACTCCCCTCCGTTCCATTACTATAACGTGGTGCCACAGCTTACGAGCCTGCTGTCCAGCCCTAAGGTCCCGCCGCAGCTGACTCCGGACCTGATGGTTCGGCTGCTTCGGGTGTGCCGAGCCATGATCTACTGACAGACGATTGGGATGGCAAGCCTGTAATGAAGCAGGAGAATTCTAAGGTTGTTTCTGGCGGTGGAGGAGGGGGAGGGGAGGCGGTGGTGGTGGTGGTGGTGGTGGTGGTGGTGGTGGTGGTGGTGGTGGTGGTGGTGGTGGTGATGGTGGTGGTGGTGGTGGTGGTGGTGGCAGCAGCAGCGGTGGTGGTGGGGGCAGTACCAGTGCTGCTGCTGGTGCAGCAAGTGCTGCTAGTGCTGCAAGTGGTGATGGTGATGGTGATGGGGGGGGAGGAGTTGGAGGAGGGGGAAAGAGGGAGGAGGAGGAGGAGGAGGAGGAGGAGGAGGAGGAGGAGGAGGAGGAGGAGGAGGAGGAGGAGGAGGAGGAGGAGGAGGAGGAGGAGGAGGAGGAGGAGGAGGAGGAGGAGGGGGAGGAGGAGGAGGAGGAGGAGGAGGGATGAAAGGACAGCCCGAAAGGCTCCGAACAATGGGCAAATGGGACATGTTCGAAGCATCTGTTCCAGTCCGGTACTCCAAATCATCCCTCGAAGCCCTAGCGCGCGTGCAATGCGGGTACACAGACATGGGCCTGGCTGCATGCGCTGTGAAGCTCGTGAGCCACCCGAGCCAGTGGGTGCAAGCGGAAGCAGTCAAGCTTGCGATTGCCCTGACAGACGAAGGGAACGGGCGCGTGCAGGCAACTATGTACTCTGTTCTTGTTCACGAGCCGGAGTTTTCCAGACGGTTAAGAAGGTTCTAGCTGCGGCGTCGTCAACGGTTAAGTTTGTGAGGAAGGGATTGGATAAGGCTGAGGTGAAGGCGAGGAGGGAGGAGATGGAGAGGAGACAGATGCGCGTGGGGGGGAGGGGAGGGCGAGGGAGAGGGGGGGAGAAAGGTGGCAGTGGGGTGGGAGCGAGGGGTGGTGAGGTTGATGGACCCGGATGGGGGAGGGAGAGGGGGAGGGAGAATGGGCGGAGCAGGAGCAGACAGGGAGGGAGAGAGAGTTAGGTCAGAGTACAATGGTGGGGGTAGGAGTTCGGCAGGTCAGAACCAAAGAGACGATCCTATAAGGGTAAGCAGAGAGAGGGGCACCTTAGGTAATACTACCTCTAGATTCAATAGAGCGGGCAGCGTTGGCAATGGTGGTGGTGGTGGTTATGGGTCTCCGCCTTTGAGAGAGGAGGCTGGTGGGGCAAAACACAGAGCATGGAAGTTCTCCAATGGATTCTAAGGCGTTTCCAGTTGGGGGTAACAGTGGGACTGGTGGCAGCAGTGTGGCAGAGGGAAGCAGAGAGGGGTCGAGGGAAGCAGAGAAGGGGGGTGAGGAGAGACAAGGGGGGACGGACCGAGCAGCAACTAGGGCTCTGTTTCTAAACGCTGTGAGAATGATGAAGGAACGGTCGGGGTCTGCTCAACATGCCGTGCGCCATCGGGGGGAGGAGGAGGAGGGGGAGGAAGGCCAGAATGGTAAACTGGAGGGAAGGGCGGTTTGCAGCAAATGGGGATGTGCTGGGTAGAAGGCTGCTTGGCAGTCGACGGGGCAACAGCAGCGGCAGCAGCAGCAGCAGCAGCAGCAGTAGCAGCAGCAGTGGCAGTATAGGCAACGAGGGTGGGAAGGTGGATTGGAAATGGAAATAGAGATGGAAGCAAGACCTCCTGAGGCTGATTCTCCTCGCCCTGCCCTCACCGGTTCGCATCCTGCTGCTGACGATACTGTTGCAGATCCTGAAGCTGGAGAAGAGGCAATGAGTGAGAACGTGGATGTAGGTGCTGGTATTGGGGGCCATGCGGGGATGGATGTGTCTGGAGAAGTGGGAGGGGTGGATGGAGAGGAGAGTGCTCAGTGTGCGTTCCCAGGAGACTCTTCCTCCTCTGCTTCTCAGCACAGTCACAACGGCCTTGATAACACACAGCAGGATCCCCTATCGTCAGCAACAGAAGCAACAGGATCGCTGGGTCCATCTGGGGCATCAAATGGTGTTGGTGTTTATCCTGCTTCGCAGCCTCCTTCCAGTATCAGCACTGCAATGGGCTGTCATATCAAAGGGAGATTAACCGACACTGGCGCCACCAGATCTCTCGAGGGCCCTGGGGTGGAGAGCGGGAGCCACGAGAAGAGTCGGGCTAGTGAGAGAATCGGAACTGGAGAGAGAACTGGGGCTGGAGAGAGAGGTGAGATTGAAGAAGTGGCTGTTTCCAGTGAAAGGGGTGGTGCTCGCTTGGGTGGTAACAAGGGTGCGTATGCCAGGATGAGGATCAAAACTGGGTCGATTGATCTAGGGGAGCCACTCGAAACGCCATCAACAACGCCAGGGACTGGCCTTGGGCTTGGACTCGGTGGTAACATGGACCCTGATGGGCTGGATTCCCCTGCAGAAACACCGATGACTGCGAGAGAGGGGGCAGGAGGAGGGGCGTCAGGAGGAGGGGCGGGAGCGGGGGGAGGAGGAGGAGGTGGTGGTGGGGCGTCGGTCGCAGGTGGAGAGGAGGAGGATTATCGGTTATGGGATGTGGAGGAGAACGAGGAGGGGACGAAGGCGACGAGTAGGGACACGACGCTGCATAAGAAGGCGTGGGTGATTCTGTCTGGGCATGTCACCAACCTATTAAGGATGCTGCAGCTTATGTGTGAGGGCCATAACGCGGACATGCAGCGTCTGCTGCGCTTGCAGGAGTATAATGGCCCTCCGAGTGCTGGGATCGAGCGGTCAGCAGGAGGGGAAGATGATGGGGCTGCAGGGGGCGGGGGAGGGGGAGTGGGGATTGGGGGAGGGGCTGGAGGGGGAAGGGGGTGGAGCGGAGGGGGAGGCGGGGCGGTGGAGGGGAAAGGGGTGAATGTGCTGCAGGAGATTATAGTGTTTCTGGAGCATTTGCAGCCGTCTCTGGATAAGAATCTTGGCAGCAGAAGAACCCTCTTTTGGTCGAGATCGCTCTACAGGTGCGTGAATACCTGAGATACCTGGTTTCCTTTTTGAGAAACATGACTTAACGCTGAACAAGAACGTTGGCATTGATAGTGCCGTGCAAGTTGCCCATGTGCGTGAATGGACGTGTGTTCATATCACGCTGCTAGAGGCCATCCAGGGCCCGTGATTGAAAACCAGCTCGCTCTCGTGCGCTCCAACCCCCTCTACTTTGTTCAAACGACTCATAAACCCGCCCCTCCCTCTCCCGGCAGGCACTCAACACATTGCTAGAGGCCATCCAGGGCCCGTGCTTTGAGAACCAGCTGGCGCTCGTGCGCTCCAACTTCCTCTCCATCACGCAGCGCATGCTCGCCTCGCTCAACTACCGCGAGCAGGACGAGCGCACGCCACCCGTGCGCTACTCGCCCGATGTCATAGCGGGTATTCTGAGCTACACTGCATTGGGGTCCCGACCTGCAGGCGGAGCCGGATGTCCCATGGTGAGACTTGTGCTGTGCTGGGGTGCGGTGGGATGGGGTGGGGTGGACTGGGTGAAGTGCGGTGGGGTGGCGTGGAGTGGGGTGTTTTCGAGTGCACTTAGCAACGTTCTTCATGATACTGTTGTAGTGGTGGCGGAGGCAGACACAGAGTGTTGTTGTGGCTGTTGCTGTTTCCTGCCTCCCCTGCTACTCCTCCTGCTGCCCCATTTTCTATTATTTATCCCCTCCCACCAGAACATCTCAATGTCATATTGTGGTAAAGCGGCCTTCACCCTACTGTGCTTCTCGCTCCGTCCCCATCCCGTCTTCTTCCGTTTTTCCTACCTACTCCTCTTCACGCGCTCATTTCGGCCTCCCCACCTCCCATTCTTCCCACCCACCCACTCTCTCTCTCCCCCGTTTCTTCCCTCCCTCCTCCTCATCACCAGCTAAGCGCGAACGACCTGCGGTGCTGGCTGCGCAACGGGGTGTTCTCAGTGTACCTCTCTCTTCTCGAGGAGATCGGCACCAACAGCGAGATCCCCAGCAAGATGGCTGCCGTCATCGACTTCACCTCCCTGCTGCACCGCTGCCGCCAGCTGCAGCAGCTGCTCAGGGAGTACAAGCTGGGCTGTCCCGACGCAGGCAGGGATTTCGAGTCGTCGCAGAGCCTGATTGCCTTCCTAAGGCAGATGCTGCGAGAGTATCTGGTCGCTCGTGGGGATCGAATTGGGGATGGCGACCCAGCAGCAGTGGCTGCAGCGGCGGCGGCGGGGGTGAGGGTGGGAGGGGCAGAGGAGGCAGGTGAAGGTTCTGGGTCTTTCTTGCGGTTCTTGGCAGCGAGATTTCGTGGTGGTGGTGAGGGTGCTGTTAACCATGCTGCTGCTGCTGGTGCTGGTGGTGCTGGTGGTGGTGCTGGTGGCGGTGGCGGTGCTGGTGTTTCTAGTGCTGGTCCTGCTGGTGTTGGTGCTAGTGGTGATGGTACTGCTGCTGGTGATACAGCTGGTTTGAAACGTCTCAAGAGACTGCTGGGAGGGAGTAACAGAGAGAATGACTGTGGGAGTAACAGTGGGAGACTTGTGAGTGCTGCTGCTGTGGCTGCAGCAGGAGGCTTGCAAGGCGAGGACAGGAGAGGGGATGTGCGAGGGGAAGGAACATATCGTGCTGCAAACAGTCAAATGGTAAGGGAAGAGGAGGGGGGGATGCGAGGGGATGAAGCTGTGAGGATCTGGCGAGGTGTGGGTTCAGGTGTGGGTTCAGGTGTGGGCTCACGGGTTGGGTGGGGGAAGGCCATAGAGAAGGTGGGAGAGGGGGTGGTGGAAGAGGAGCAAGCAGGGACAGCAGCAGGAGCAGCAGCAGCAGCAGCAGCAGCAGCAAAAGCAGCAGCAGCGGGGGTAAGAGGAGCGCAGGTAGTGTCAGGCGTAGAAGGGAGAGGAAAGCGAAGTTTGGGTGTTCCACGAGCCATGTCCATGCCTGCTGGTGCTGCAGGCCCACTAGCATGTGCAGCTACTGCGGTGATTGATAGCCGGGGAGAGGATGCAGCAAGGAGAGAGAATGAGCAAGTTTCAAGAGCAGAAGCAGGTGCAGGGGCAGGGGCAGGGGCAGGAGCAGGAGCAGGGGCAGGGGCAGGGGCAGGGGCAGGGGCAGGGGCAGGGGCAGGGGCAGGGGCAGGGGCAGTGGCAGGAAATGTTGCATCACGTTCCTTGATTGGAACACGTGGCAGCCTGTCATTTGCTGGCCTCTCACGGACATCGAGCTGGCGGTCCAGTCTTGCTGCTCTGGCACGGCAAGGCTCAGGTAGACTCTCAGGTGTTTTCAACAGTGATGGAGGAGGTGGTGGTTTAGGGGGGGGTATAGGAGAAAGAGATGTGAGAGGAGGAGATGGAGGAACAGGTGGGGGACTGAAGTTAAGAAAAGGGCCTCCTCTTGCTCCTCTATCCTCCCTAACTTCCGCACATAACAAGTCCGTACCTTCCTCCTCCACCGTCCCCAACCTCTCTTCTCGCCTCCCTCACATCAGCACCGCTGCTCCTGCCATCTCACCCCAATGGCGTCCCCCCCTTTGGAGCACATTCAATACAGACTCCCTGCTCTTCCTGCTGCCTGGCGAGGTGCTCAACTCCCTCATTATAATCATCAAGCTGGACGATTTCGACCGTTGGATGTACTGCAGCGGCGAGCCCAGCCAGAAATCCGATTGGTCCACGTCAGCAGAGGGGTCGTCTGGGGGTGGGGGTGGGGGAGGAGCAGGTGGGCGGGGGAATGGGGGAGTGGGAGGGGGGAGTGGGGGAGGAGGAGGAGGAGGCGGAGGCGGGGGAGGGGGAGGGGGAGGGGGAGGAATGTTGAGTTTTGCAAGGCTTATGGGGAGATCAGGGCCGTTTGCCACGTGCGCCTATTCCGTGCTAAAATGCGACAAGCCGCAGAGAATCGGAACTCTGTGCTTTGAACACACCCTATCCGTGGGAGACCAAGACCTAGAAGTTTTCTTCAACCAGCGCTCGTGTGCAATCGAGGTCGTGCGCGACGGGCAGCTGGAAAAAGTTTACTTTCCGCTGACCCCGGAATGCAGGAGATTGTCTCAGGATCCCCAGTGGACCCAGGCTGCCCTACAGGAGCTGTATGACGTTCCAAGAGAGAACCCTATCCAGGTGAGTAGCTTTTGAGAATTTCTCAATAGCTGTGGCCTGTCATGTGTTGTGCTCCAGTGGCTTTTTGAGTTGAACCAAAAAGCTTCTTAGTGGACCCAGGCAGCCCTGCAGAAGTTGTATGATGCTCCAAGAGAAAACCCTATTCAGGTGAGGCACAACACTGCGATTTCATGACAGTACAGCAGCCTTGCCAGCAGCAGCACTTGTAACCCACCAGCCCTACCCTGTATGTCGTTCCACCATTTGTTCCCTTCCTCCAGCCAACAAGCATTCCGGCAGTCCATTTAAGCTGCAACAGGTCAAGCTGACTCGAAATCTCAGTGACTCTTGCCTCTAATCTATCCCCATCGTACCATCCCCTCTTTATGTCTTCTCCCTGTCCCCATCCCCATCCCCATCCCCATCCCCATCCCACAGAAAGTACAGCAGTTCATGGCAGCGGCGCGGCTGCTGGTATACAAGGTGCAGCACTACGAACGCATGCGCCTGCGATACGCCTGGTCCGGCTGGTTACAGGCCCGCATGACCCACCTCAAGCGCGCCCCCTTCTACCTCTCCATCGTTATAGTCACCATCCTCGTCTTTAGCAACACCCAGCTCAGCACCGCTCCTGCTGGTAACCACCAGTCAGGGTTGCAGCAACGGGGTGATGTTACCAGCGCTGCTGCTTCCGCCGCTGCTTCCACTGTTGCTGCTGCAGCTGCTGCTGCTATCCGAGCATGTCCTGCTGAGGCGCTCCTGGGTGTGATGCTACCACCGAATGGCACTGCAGCAACAGGAGCCAGCAACAGCAGCTGCTGCAGCACCACCGCCACCGCCACAGCAGCAGCAGCAGCAGCAGCAGGAGCGAGTGGTGCGATCTCTCTGTCCCTGTGGGAGAGGCACGGGCACCTGCTATGCCTGGTGCTGGTGCGCATAATAGGGCTGCTGCAGGTGGCAGCAGGGGCGCTCACGCTCGTTGCGTTTGTGCTCATAGAGTCGCCTCTCCTCGTGCTGCATGAGCGACGGGCCAAGGAACAGGCAATCTCTGGGGCGCTCTCCTCTCTAGGTGAATTCAGCATTTTTTGTGCTCCCCTGTGCTGTGTCCCCGCCCCCATTGTTATGCCCCTCCTGTTATGCCCCTTCTGATATGCCCCTTCTGTTATGCCCCTTCTGTTATGCCCCTTCTGTTATGCCCCTTCTGTTATGCCTCTCCCTGTTGTTGCCCACTGCTGCCTCCTTGCAAAGTGATGTGCTGTGCTGTCCTCTCCACCCATTCACACCTCATTGAAGCAGACTTCCTGTGACGTAGCAATATCTTCCTTATGAAGCGACTTTTAAGTCCCCCCTTTTGACTCAGAAGTCACCTTGCATACTTCCTGTAAAGTGACTATATCTTCCTCCTCACAAAGCTCCAGTTTCTGCACCGTTTTCCTGCTGCAAGCCTCACTCATTCGTCTTGTCCCATTTCCCCCCTCCTCCTTTCCACCTTCCCTCCCTTCCATCTCCCTTTCCCGACCACCTTCCCGTTCGGTACCCCTTCTCACCAGCTGAGCGGGGTCACACAGACGCCTTGGGGCAAGGGGAAGGGGAAGGGGAGGAGGGGGCGGGGGGGGCTGAGATGTGGGAGGAGCTAGAGGGGGTGCCCAAGCGCCTGCTGCTGCAGAACCGGGACTTTTGGTACATCATTGCCATGCTCGTTGCCAGGTGGGTGGGTGCAGCGATGCTCGTCACCAGGTGAGGAGTAGAATGAGGCGCCTCAAACTAGAGCCGGGACTTTTGGTACATCATTGCCATGCTCGTTGCCAGGTGGGTGGGTGCAGCGATGCTCGTCACCAGGTGAGGAGTAGAATGAGGCGCCTCAAACTAGAACCGGGACTTTTGGTACATCATTGCCATGCTCGTTGCCAGGTGGGTGGGTGCAGCGATGCTCGTCACCAGGTGAGGAGTAGAATGAGGCGCCTCAAACTAGAGCCGGGACTTTTGGTACATCATTGCCATGCTCGTTGCCAGGTGGGTGGGTGCAGCGATGCTCGTCACCAGGTGAGGAGTAGAATGAGGCGCCTCAAACTAGAGCCGGGACTTTTGGTACATCATTGCCATGCTCGTTGCCAGGTGGGTGGGTGCAGCGATGCTCGTCACCAGGTGAGGAGTAGAATGAGGCGCCTCAAACTAGAACCGGGACTTTTGGTACATCATTGCCATGCTCGTTGCCAGGTGGGTGGGTGCAGCGATGCTCGTCACCAGGTGAGGAGTAGAATGAGGCGCCTCAAACTAGAGCCGGGACTTTTGGTACATCATTGCCATGCTCGTCGCCAGGTGAGTTTCTGAGCTTGACTCAGAAGTCCCATGCGGTGTGGCAATAGCCGGAGGTGATTTTCGAGTCGACTCAAGAATCAGGGACCCCTAGGTGCCCAAGCATCTGTTGCTGCAGAACCGGGACTTCTGGTACATCATTGCCATGCTCGTTGCCAGGTGAGGAGCTACATTTTTAAGCACCCCCCTCCCCCCCAAAAAAAGCATAAAAGAAGAAAAAAAACTCATGCACCCAGGCCATCACCAGTCCATATCTGTGCCATTGTGCTCCCTTTCTTCCCCATACACCTTCCTTCGACCCCCTTTACCTTTCTCAACTACCACCTCTCTGCTGCTCCTGAGACAGCTCAAAACCCACATACCCCTCCTCCCATCCCCACACCCCCCCTTTTTTCCCGTTTCCCCATAACCATCCCCTCCCCAATCCCCACTCCCCCCTCCCCCCTCCCCCCTTTCTCCTCTGACAGCATCCTGGGCATGGTCTCGTCGCCCTTCTTCTTTGTCTTCCATCTCCTCGACTTCCTCATCTACCACCCCTCGGGAGCCATCGTGCTGCAGTCCGCCTACGTCGGCGGCCCTCTGCTCATCCTACCTTTCCACCGCTCTCCCCATCGCCACAACCCCTTTTCCTCCGGTTTCCCCCATACCCTCTGCTCCACGTCCCCACACCTCCCTTTTCCCCATTCCCCCCATTATTCTCCCCCCTGTCCCACCTGCGCCTCCCCACCATCCCTCCCCCCACCCCTCTTTCCTCCCCTTTACAGCATCCTGGGCATGGTCTCATCGCCCTTCTTCTTTGTCTTCCATCTCCTCGACTTCCTCATCTACCACCCCTCGGGAGCCATCGTGCTGCAGTCCGCCTACGTCGGCGGCCCTCTGCTCATCCGAACCGGCCTAGTGGGAATCCTCGTCATATTCATGTACGCGGTCGTCTCCTTCTTGGCCTTCGGAGGCGACGACGATTTCGCCTGCACGACTCTGTACGGGTGTATCGGCGCCCACCTTGTGAACGCGCTTTCCAGCTCCTCGATCGGAGGGCTTTGGAAGGAGTGGGATGCGGTGCCGGACTCGATGTTCGAGGAGGTGCGGGGGCAGCTGCGGACGGCGTTTATTGTGTCGTTTCTGATCATATGGGTCTTCCTGCTGCAGAATATCTTCACGGGGCAGATTGTCGACGCGTTCACGTCCATTCGTGACGAGAAGGCGGCCAAGGAGAAGGATCTAGGTGAGTGGGAGACGCTTCTTTGAACTCTTCCCCCCCTCCTTTCTTCCTTCCTCCTAGGAGAAGAATCTATGTGAGCTAGAGTTGCCTCTCTGCCCGTTTCCTTACGCAGGGAGTATTAAGCGCCTCATAAATTACCGAGGAGAGTCACGTATGTGATTGGGAGTCTCTTGTCTACCCCTCCCTCGCTACCTCCCTTCCCCCCTCCCTCCCTCCCTCCCTACGTATCTTCCATCCGTCCCATGTCATGCCTGCCAAACGAGGATAATTTGATATTCCTTGCCTGTTGAAGGGCCAGCTCTGCCATGTCTTCACATCCACCACCCTCAAGTCTTGGCAAAACCCTTCGTCTCTCACCCTGCTATTCCCCCTTTGTCGTCCTCCCATTGTTCACCGCCTGCAAACGCACGGGCTCACACACCCTCCCACTCACCCACCCACCCACTTACCCCACGCACGCACGTGCACCGTCGACCGCACACGCAGACGACAAGTGCTTCGTGTGTAGCATAGACCGCTTTGCCTTTGAGCAACGCCTCGGGGGGGTTGTGGACCACGTGAAGCACGAGCACAACGCGCTGCACTACCTCTTCTACATGGACTACCTGCTCAAGCGCAACCCCTCCCATACCCTCTTTCTTTTCTCATCAACTCATCCTTCTTTTCTCTCTTTCTGCGCCTCCCCCTCTGTGCCTTTTTCCCCTTGTTCCCCGCCTGCAAACGCACGGCATCAACCACCCACCCACCCACCCCGTGCACGTTTACCCGTGCACCCACAGACGACAAGTGCTTCGTGTGCAGCATAGATCGCTTTGCCTTCGAGCAACGTCTGGGTGGATTTGTGGACCACGTGAAGCACGAGCACAACGCGCTGCACTACCTCTTCTACATGGACTACCTGCTCAAGCGCAACCCTACGGAATACACCGGCCTCGAGTCCTTCGTGCGAGGCCGCCTCGACGCGCGCAACGACGACTGGATCCCGATTGGCCGCGCCATGCACATCGACCGGCTGAAGCAGTTCCGGGCGAAGCAGCGCGGTGCGAGCGAGGGCATGGACCGGGTCCGGCATGTGTTGGATCGGATGGATGCGAGGATGACGGCGCTTGAAGCCGGGATGGAAACCATGAGGATTGAGATCAACCGGTCGTCGTCTCGGTCGTCTCGGTCGGGGTCTGGTGTTGGGCTTGCGAGTGCTAGTGTCGGCGGCGGCGGCGGCGGGGGAGGCGGAGGCGGAGGAGGGAGGCGGTCGCAGGGGATTCTGGCGCGGTCGTTGACAGGGGGAGGGAGCGGTCGGAGGAGCAGCAGCAACAATAGCAGCGGAGGGGCGGGGGCTAGTCGGTCGTCGAGCTTTGGGAGGACTGGGAGGGGGATGATGATGGGTTCCATGTCTCTCAATCCGAACTCACAGCTGCATCATGAAGAGGAGGACGAGGTGACTGGTGGAGGTGATATGATGTTTGAGCTACGGAGTACCCACTCTGACATCCCAATCTCTCGGGCGTCAACATTGTAAGCTGGATTTGTTTCTTCGTTTCTTTCTTCCGTTCGTTGTTTCTTTCTTCTGCGATGTTGCGGGTTTTTTTTTTTTTACGTCTTGCACTTGTGTGCAAATGTTGCTGCTCTGCATGTATACTCTTGTTGCAATATTTTCCCAACTTTTCCCGCCTAGCAGGCCTGGCATGTACGGTGGCTGGGCATCACCCTCAGTGGGCTAGGTTTTACTAACCTGCAAATATGCATCAGGGCCTCATAACGCTGTCTTTTTTATGCTGATGCTGCCCCTCTTCCACCATCTTCTTGCTTGCTATTGCTGACTTATCAGTCTTATTCAGGAAATCACAGTGATTTTCCCTGCAGAAATGCATTTTTTTTCAGAGCACTGCCAAGCTTGTCTGACAGCTAAACTTGTCAGCCTGACTGATGCAATAATTGTCGTAGATTTAAGCGTGGCTCTGATTAGGCAAGCAGCCCAAGCAATCACCCTTCCTCTAACCACCTCCTCCCTGCCCAAGCCCCCTGCTCTGTTCCTCTCACCACCTCTTGCCACTCCCTCCCAGCCCATGTTCCATATTCCTCTTGCGACCCCCTTTCTCCCAAAGTCCAAATACTTCTTTCTCCGTACCACTGTCACAACAACCAGGTAACCTTAGGAGGCATGGCTTAGGCTTAGGAGGAAGACTAGGAGCTAGGAGATGGTATCGAGAGGTTTTGGCAAAGAAGAGGTTGCACTAGAAAGAGTGGTACAAGATATAGGCAAGGCAAAGGGTACACCACCAGCAGTTGATATAACTAACCTAATACACTAGTAAGCTGTAGGCAGGTATAAGATATGCAATATAAATTAACAACCACTGTCGTGACAAACACAAACACACATACATACACACACACGCACGCACGCACGCACGCACGCACACACGCACGCACGTACGCACTGTTAAGAAGGTAGGGACTAGGAACTTAGAGAGCTAGGAACTTAGGGTTTGGATGGAGAGAAGTTTGGCCAAAGGAAGGGGTTGGACTAGTGAGAGAGATACATGATATAGGGTTAGGGAAGGTGGTCAGGAGGGGTATACCACCAACAAGAGAATACATACTACACTAGCTATACTAATATGCAGTTATATAAAGAAATACAATTTCTAACATCCCCCTTAACTGCATACAAGCATAGCCAATGAGAGGCGCTCTACCCTAAGTGCAGTCGTCACCGTGCCGCAGCTGGGCCCACCGATACAACACACGATGGAATGCCCGCCTGCGGTTTAACCCCCGCAGTGGATGCCCGGTGTGCGCGACTCTGGGTGACCACGCCCAGAAACGACGGAGAAAAGGAACGAACCACGAGAAAACATTACGAAAGTAAAAAAACAGGAAAGAAGACAACCCTTTCTCTCTCTCTCTCTCATTCTTCCCCTTTAACCTCTCTCATCCCCCTTAACCTCTCTCATCCCCCTTACCCTCTCCCCCCCCCCCCCCCCTACAGCAACAAGTGCTGCAGGGAGAGAGGAAGAGGGAAGGGAGGGAGGAGGTGCTGGCTCCTCACAACCTCACACCCGCCACCCCCACATCTCCCCCTCCTTTCCCTTCCCCACGACGGAAGCAGTGGAAGGGAGGGCGGGCGGGGGGGGGGCAGGGCGGCAGTAGCTGCTGCTGGCGCTGGCGGTAGCTGCTGCTGGCGCTGGCGCGGGCGGCTGGCGCTGGCAGTAGCTGCTGCTGGCGCTGGCGCGGGCGGCTGGCCGCGGTGGGGCGGCTGGCTGCTGCTGGCGCTGGCGGTAGCTGCTGCTGGCGCTGGCGGTGGCGGCTGGCCGCGGTGGTGGCGTCCGCGCTGACGGGCCACGCTGGCGGCGGCGCCTGCGGTCCGGGCTGGCGCGGGCGCTGGCGACGGAACGGGGGGCCGCGGGGCGTCGAAACGGGGGGCCGCGGGGGACGGGAATCGGGGCAGCGACGGCACGACGGGCAACGCAGCGACGGGCGTGACGGGCAAGGCAGCGACGGGTGACGGGCGACGGGCGCAACGGGCGCGACGAGAAAAAATAGCGCATTTCGCGCTGTTGTACGGGCGGGCCCATAATTCTTAAAAAAAGGAAGGTTCCGGGAAAGAACCTGCTCTGTACCATGTTAAGAAGGTAGGGACTAGGAACTTAGAGAGCTAGGAACTTAGGGTTTGGATGGAGAGAAGTTTGGCCAAAGGAAGGGGTTGGACTAGTGAGAGAGATACATGATATAGGGTTAGGGAAGGTGGTCAGGAGGGGTATACCACCAACAAGAGAATACATACTACACTAGCTATACTAATATGCAGTTATATAAAGAAATACAATTTCTAACACGCACACACATGTCAGAATCTCAGCCAGTACACCATTGGGATAAACAGGCTCATTGAGTAGCGGATGAGTACGCCCATAATCCCCCAGGCTCTGAACCTAAACCCATAAACTCTTTTCCTTTGGTACAATTCCGCAACCACAGCACCTCCTCCAGACGTGATGTCTCATATGTGGGGATGCTTTCACAAGCACATGAGGTTGCGCCACTGTTTCTGGACGGTGTTATGTCAACGCTTGTGATACAGTCGGGGTTCTCTTTTGCGATATGCGCGGCGAGACGGGCCCAATATTGCAAGCCAAGCTTACCCTCAAACGAGCCAAACCCGTCTTCGGTGCATCAGCACACTGTGAAAAGATTACCTGTTCTCCTGATGCGACCAGACCAGACGTTCTTCGGGACGGGAGCAATATCTCTCCTCTTCGGCAGTCGGTAGTTTCACGCGTCAGCACCTTGCCCTTCCCTCTGGTAATGCTTGTGGTCCTTGTTGTGTCGCAACACGCTGAAAATGTATTAGGGGTTAAGAAATTCCCAACAGGCTTGCTGTATGGTGTTTATAGTTGATGTCTCCATCAACAGCATGCCATATGAGAGGTATTTAACCCCATTTTCCCCGCCTGGCCTGGAGCGGAATGCGCAATGGCGCAGTGTGTATAGTACCGGACCAATTTGTGTTATCGGAAATATGAGTTGAATTTCCAAATTGGGGTGTGCCAAACTCATGTTTCCTAGGTTCCAATGGAACCTACGAAAGGAACCCAACCCCAAACATGAGTCAGACGTCTGACGAGCTCTGAATGCGCCCTTGAAGCTGTAGGGTGGGCTAAATGCCAACCGAGCCAGCCCTGCCCGTTGAAACCAAAGCACCCACATGTCAATCTTTTCTCAAGTGGCCCACAAGGAGGAATCAACCCCAAAAGGAACAAACAGCCAAAAAAATGAGAAATGGCAGTTCGTCCGGCACTTCGTGTTTCGGGTCTTCCGTTCCGAGCCAGTTTTGCGTGATTCAAGCCAACTTCAAGGCTCCCAAGCCTTCACCCCGCTTGCTCCGTTCCAAAGCTTTGAGGGCGTGTCCAACTTTGTTCATATCCCTTATTTCTTCAGCACAGTTACCAAATGTAGGCGTGTAACAGAGCTTAGGTTTTACATAGCAGTTGACTGGAAACAGTTCATCCGACGACCAGTTCAAAAACGTACCCCGAGACGCGCAGAACATATCCGAAGGTACACAATGAAATCGTCCAGCAGTCCGTATTGCGTCATGAACGGTGAACAGTAACGCAAGGTTTTTCGTAAAAGGTCAGTCGCAACTAGTTCGACTAGCCGCAACAAGTAAAAATTGGTGATTCGTCGTCGCGCAAATCTCAGACGTTATTTGGTAACTCCTTAAAACGAGGGTCTAGATTTGACAAGCGGAGGTTCAGAAGTTTTTGTTCTGAACCAGGCTTGCCAGCGCGAAGGTGTTGGCTGGCGAAAATCTGGAATTCGTGCGGGGAATTTTCCTCCGCAGTAACTGGTCGCCAGGGTTTCGGGGTTCGGGTGGCAAATGTGCACCGTCGCTTTAACAGATTCTGTATCACGGCTCTTTCTTGAACCGTGTCAGCACTCCGAAATTTATGGGCAGAGACTGGGTACCGCTTGGGGTACTGTCAAATATTGACGAGTGCATGGACGTTAAATTTACGAAAAAAACGATAATGTACAAAGTTGGACCCGCCCTTACAAATCCGTTCCGGACCAGATGGCGGTCTGGAAGGGGTTCACGGCTAGTTGCTCGTGACTGTGGCTACGGGACAAAAAGAACAATGTTTGTTGATCCCCTTATGAGTGTTCATTTCTGGCCCTAGGCAGTTGGTCCAGACCGGACTCGAGAACGACATTTCTGCGGGCATTTTGTGCCCGCCCAGCGTACCCATGGTCGGGCAGGATGGATGGCGTTCCTTTTCGTCTGTGGCGCAATTTTGGGCAAGCCGCTAAATAGGTCTTTTCTGTGAAAGGCTGTGACCCATTTGCACGAAAAATACACCCCGCTCCACAGAGGATGTATATATCAATCTCCGTGTGCTTTTAGGGCTTTACAGTGTATTCCACTGTATAATTTAGCCGAGGTGCGAACATCAAAGTGAACGCAGCGCCAGCGAAAGCTGTTGTGCAACGCGCTGATTAGAGTCGTGCTGCCAACCTAGCCTACCCCACGACCACCCACCCATAGCCACGAGCCACTAATCTCGCCGGTCAAGAAGAGCCATGAGAAGCCATCTCCCGAGTCCCGACCCACTGGCAAAATAGGGACGCCACTGGCTCAAAGCGTTGACGTTGATGTGCTCGGATAGGAGTGGGGGAGCTTTGAAAGGAGATGATGCGTTTTTTATTGGAATGCTCATAGACTGCGAAACGAGATGATGGATTTTGCATGAGTGGCCGCTTCAAAGTTTCCGACTATGCATTTCTGGAGATTATCCTCGTGACTCGCGCTGTCTCCGCAGTCCTCCTGCTTCCCCACTTTCCTACTGTCTGTTCGCTCGCTAATAACCTCAAGACCCCTCATTCAAACCACAATAACTTAGCGCGTACCTACTACCGCGATGCGCGCGCACATAGCCCTTCGACAGGGTCCTCGAAGCGCTTCAACCCTGCAAGAACGAATCAACCCGCGGCGGTCATGACGCTCGCCCTCGTCGCTTGCCCCGCATTGCCTGCCTACTATAGACCGCATTAGCCGCCGCATTCCCTGCCGTCTGTTTCGCCGTCCTCTTCTTCATCCCAAAACCACTCTTGTGTTGTCAGCAGTAGTAACCCCTCCGCCCCTTTCTTCCAAATAAATAATAATAATAATAAAATCATATCGGCGATCACCACGTCTTCCGTCGACTTATTTATTACTGATCCTTATCACTTAACCAATCCGTTACCTTCAACATTTGATTGCTCGGGGCGCGACTCGGACTTTAAACCCAGTTAGCGACCCAACCAGTCGTTTCGCAGCCATGGGGGCGATGACGTCATCTCTCGCGGCGAAATTCGCGTTTTTTTTTCCGCCGACGCCGCCGTCGTACTCGATAGTGGAGGACCCGGTAACGGGCAAGCTGCGGTTCGAGGACATCGCGGCCGGCGGAGAACGTGGAGGTCACGTTCCTGGACACGGCGCGCGGGCAGCGCATCGCCGCGATGTTCGTGCGCAACCCGCGCGCGCGCCTCACGGTGCTGTACTCGCACGGCAACGCCGCGGATCTCGGACAAGTGCACGACCTATACGTGGAGCTGAGCAACATGCTGCGAGTTAATCTCCTCGGGTGAGACGAGTTAGTCCGTCCGGTTGCTGGTCTGCGTGAGGGAAGCGTCGTCGTGTCAGGGTTCAAGAAAAGGTTAGGGGGAGGGGGATGAGGAGATGAGGGGATGGGAATGGGAGGGATTAGGATGGGGGTGAGAGGAGGGAATAAGCGGGAGATGGGACTGAGAGGCGGAGGGGTGAACCAGAAGAAATGTCGTGGAAAGGGACTCTCGCACTCTCGCAACTCTCGCCTATCGTAGCCAAGTCAACTTCTGCAGAGCGTTTTCCTCTCCCTTCCCCCATAAACCCCCTCCCTCCCCGCTCCCTCCCTCCACAACACCTCACACACCCACTCCTCAAGCCACCCCTCTCTCATTCTCATTTTCTTTCAGTGAACGCGTGTTTGCATGTGCCACCGCGTGGGGCGGAGAGCGCGGTGGGCGAATGACGATGCTGGTGGCGGGTGGATGGATGGGTTGGTTTGTGTGTCCGTGTGCATGTGCGTGTGCGTGTGCGTGCCTGCGCGTGTGTGTGTTTGTGTTGCGCTGTGTTTTCATGGCAGGTATGACTACACAGGTTATGGTGCTTCGTCTGGCAAGGTACGCCTGAGATCATCATAACCGCTAGTTTATCATAATGCTGCTCTCGTCTCCTTCCGCTCTCCCTTACCCGCGTCCCGTCCAAGCCCCCTCCTCCTTTCCCCTCCCCTCTCCCCGCCCCCCCCTTCCCATCTCCCTCGTCCTTCATATCCCCTTCTCCTCCCCCTCCTCAAGCCACGAATGTAACGCATACATATACATAGCAGTAATCCTTCCCCACCCCTTCCCCTCATCCAACTTCCCCTCCCCCACCCCCCCCTCTCCCCCGCACCTTTCCCCCCCGCTCCTTCATCAACCTTCCCCCTCCCCCCCAGCCCACGGAGTTCAACACATACGCGGACATAGAAGCCGCTTCACGTACCTCACCGCACAGCAGCACCGCATTCGACCGGAGGACATCATTCGGTACGGCCAGTCCGTGGGCAGCGGGCCTACAGTGGACCTGGCTTCCCGCACGCCTCGCCTGCGCGGCGTGGTGCTGCACAGCCCCATCATGTCGGGCCTGCGCGTGCTGTACGAGGTCAAGACCAGCTTCTTTTTGGATATCTTCACGGTGAGTCGCGTGGGGCTGAGGCGTGGTGCCGCACAGCCCTATCATGTCTGCTCTCCGCGTGCTGTACGAGGTCAAGTCCAGCTTCTTCTTCTCGATATCTCACTGTGAGTTGGTGTGTTGCGTGTGGGTGGGGGTTGGCAG